TTTTTATTCGGTGTTATTTGCTTACTTTACTTCCTATGCCAACAGCAACTATGAGTTTAAAACTGCTTTTTTGTCGTTCGAATAGGTAACCTACCTGACACGTGTATAATTATCATAACACCATTGGCTGCTAGATGGTGGCGGTAAAAATCCATGATGGTGGACTCTATATCCGGCACGTAATAGAGCATTTGAATTAAGTGAACCAAATCAAACTTGATGGCCTCAGTACCCACTGTCGACTGGAGTGGAAAAAAAGACAAGATAGTTGTATTAGGTACACGCTGCAGCCACTGCCATTGTTAAGATACGCCTACAAAAGCATCGTTAAGTGTGATATATCAATTAAATAATTGATTGATTGCACGAACATGTAGTTTACTGATTAATTGTTGACACCAGGAACTATCGACTACTCGACGGAACTGACAAATAAATAAGTTAATACGTAAATTATGTTTGTGTAACACCAGTCCAAACTGCTATTGACAAAGCTCCTACAGCTAAACACACGACAGAGGACACAATTTCACACTATCTCGCCAGATATGTTGTATATACGTATGAAATCGACATATTCCAGAACCTTCGACTTGCACCGCTGAGGGCAGCATGCCCTTGAATGCACTGCTCTATGACACACACGCTGCGTGGATAACACAATGATGCTCGAATCTAAATTTCAGTTTGCATTAAAACAACATTCAAAAACTGATTCTAAATTGAACATAATTTTTCATTATCTCTAATTCAACGTTTAATTTCTCATGCATGTTCCTGGAACGCGATGCTTAATTGTCACCTCATTTACGCGAACTGAGACAAATATCTATTAAACAGGGACGACAAATTTACATATAATTATTGATATCGACAAAGGTCACCAACTTTTGTTTTTGACAGACCTGGTGCAAATCATTTGTTTAAAAAACAAACAAATTACGTTTTTGAAACAATTGCTATAGGAGGACATGTTAAACGTTATTTTAATTTTCTAATAATTGGCAACTTCCATACTGTGTCTAATCTTGTGCTACATATGATTGTTTCACTATATAGTTTGGCGATCATACTGTTTTATTGTATTTTTTATAAGATGCAAAATGAGCGGGAACATATAATTTTTAATACTGTTGCTCGACTCTGTATATTTATGACTACATTGAACTATGATTTATTATGCCCTGAAAACACTGCTTTGTAGCATATATCCGACTACTGGCTGTTTGGCTCGTACAATAACAATCAATAAACTTGCATAAGCATATTAGTATAAGCGTATTTTGATTTTTTTCTAACAAACACTGTTGTGTGACCTGCAAACGCATGGAGCAATGTTAGTTTACGATAGTCCGATTCAGTCCACAGTATCTAACAAAATATAAGTTTTCGTCAATATTGCATTTCTATATTGTATAGATTGTTTTTCGAAATATTTTTCGGAAAACGTTTATCCACTATAACTAACACTCCACAATCACATTGCAGAGAAGTAAGATGTAAAATATTCCCTTCGCCTGTGTCACAACACTTACACAGACTGAGATAACACAGGGACGTCTTATACGAAGAAGCATTGTGTTTGTGTGCAAGGTATGGCTAAGTATTCTATTGGAAAGTAATCCTTGCTTGGCAATGGAGAAAATTATTTTTAAACCCACCAGTCAAATATTGTTTTATTTGTAACAACATTATAAAATAAAATAAAATCAGACTGTACAATAAGGCAATCTGATGATACGTTTAATGGTTAAAAATGATATTTATTTTCCTTGATATGGATTTACTGTGAACTCACCATATACTCAGACGATGTCTGCTGCCTCCATTCAAACTTCACTTCACTCAGTTGATGGTTGCTTTTTATCAGTGTTTTGTATTGAGACAGTTGTTTGAAACTTGGTTCCACCACCCGGCAGCATATTTCGCTATAGTTCTTCAAAAGTTGTGTTAATATTCGTTCGTCCATTTCACCTGTAGACCGATTATTGTCAAAATCAAAATCAAAATGTACTTGTATTTTTGACGCGGATATTTTGGACTCATTTGTGATGAAATCATGCTTCCAAAAAACGTTTCCATAGATTAAAATTATGAACTTGCGTCCGGGGAGCAATATGTATTTAAGGATGTACTACAGGTTTTCAGGAAGTAAAACTCACGCAAAATAAGTTACATGGAAAAATTGTTTTAAAACAAAACCAAACTATATATTTTATGAATGCTCACTACGTCAGGGATGCATATTGCGGTAAATCGGTTTAAGCTTAAACTTTAGAAATATACTTCCAAGGACGCCCTCTACAACCGTACCGTTGTACCGTCACTTACCTGAACCACTGCCCACTCCGAGTACTTTGATAGCTTCGCCAGCTTTCGGCAAACGACGTAACACGTCGGGTATTCCACGCGAACCTTCTATCCAATTAACCATGACATTATGCTCGTCTGACAAGCGAAGAAACTCGTGAAACGATTCCATGTATCGTTCATGATTGTTGTACAGACTTTTCATTGACATAATTCAAGAACACGTGTGTGTGTGATGTGAAGATAGGCAGGCAAGTAGTGAGTCTGTTGTCATGGAAACAAGAATATATATTATCGGATAAAAGATAAGAGAGCCTGAGTGTATACGTATGCAAGGCATTTATATTCGGTGCAAGTAAATGTAGGCCGCATGGAATATGGAACACCATAAAACATGGCAGGGGATAATCCAAAAACAACGTGGAATGTAGTAAACCATGAAACACGGAGAATCAGGGAACTTGGAATGTGGAAAATCGGGAAACTTGGAATGTGGAAAATCGGGAAACATGGAATGTGGATTCAGGAAACATGAAATGTGAAAAAAAAGGAAACATGGAAAGTGGAAAACCAGTAAATACCGAATGTGAAACACCAGAACGTATTAGGCATTATGATTGCTAAAAACCAGGAAAGTCAAGCATAGAATGTGGAAAACCAGGATACATGGAATACCAGAAAACATGGAATATGTAAAATGTTTAGAATGCTTAGGTTATGACTGTGTATGAATCAAATACATCACAATGAATTCAGTTACTATTCTTATACTAATTTGGTACATCTGAAAACGATGATATATTGTTGTATAACTGCACACCGTAGTATATATATCAGTTTTAAATCGCAAATTGTATCCAAATATAGTAATTAATTTGCAAACATATAGTAGAGATGAAGAGTTTGTTGATGCATAACTGTAGAATACTTTCATTGTTTATTTTTTGAATAATATTTTAGACCGGAATTTCCCAGTTTTGTAGCAGATAAATATTTAAAATTACCCATTTCCCATTGTATTTTGCATTATTTATAAGTCGCCGTGACGACAATTTTATGTTTTCGATAGCTCACTCCCCTCATCTCCATTTTGAAACTACATTAACAATTCAGAAAGAACGATAACACATAATTTGTAGTATTGTTGTTTGATACTGTGTATCTATAGATACATTGGACTGTGATTTACCGTGAAATGAACACGCTGTTCCTGTAGCTAACATTTGAGTATACGTTTCCAGGAACAATGAAATTCTCTAATACGCATGTGCACTGGGTTTGTTGGTACGTACAATAATAATTAGTGCACATGCGCATTGGTTGTTTTTGTAGTTGTTATTTAACGCGCACTGTTGCGTATCCTTTTAATGGTAAATCTTAATCCGATTTGATCTACAGTATAATATTGAACAACATATATGTTTTGGTCAATATTGCATCTTTAAGTTCGTTGATAATCACATTATAAGATTTGTGTGATTTACAGTCACATACGTGCTTTGCCGTTTCTTATTTTTTGCAGAACATAACTTGTCAACGCATTGAGACAGAATTTGTTTCCCAGAAATAAATCCATTGGAGGTGGATGCACGCATTCAGCAAATGTTTTTTTTTTTTTTTTTGCAGTCCAGTAATAGCATAATTAGCCGACAATCATACGCGATTCCTGCTATCCATGGACATAACAGTGATCTAAGGCTGAATAAGATTAGGTAATTGGCCTCAATTTTATTTCCTTTCTATAATTTGGAGGTGAATACAAGTACGAACGTCTAGTTACATAGTATAAAGAGAATAACTTGGCGTAATATAATTCAAGAACAACACTATATCATGCACTTGTGTAACTGTTAACAACGAATAAAACATAAGTATTTACAACATCTTAGACTCACAAGGTGAATAATCATTTAATTACTCAAAACTTTGTTTGCCAATAAAATATAGTTTCACATAAATTAACTGGGTCATTTTTTTTATTTGTGAGCTTTATGTCGTTTAGAAATCGCCATGAATACTTTTGAATATTTTAACAATTTAAAAGAAACTGAACCCTACCCTCAATTTGATTTGTACGCAATCGGCAGATATGTTTACTAATAATTTATGATGTATTTCAATATTTAGGTTATGATTACTGACTATGTGCTTAGTTCATTTTCTGTTTTCATATTTGACCTCAAGTAACCATGGTCACAGGATGCAGATGCTGCTGGTTTTTAATAGTAATAATTTATTAATACTCATTTGAGATGGTAGATCACATGTTTAAATTCTTTCAAAATTTCGAAGACAATCTAGTGATACGTTGATTTGTCTATTCTGTGTTATTCATGGAAAACATCTCTCTTGTCACTCAAGTTGGCTGCCGCGTCTCATTGAACTTATCATTTGAATTGTTTATAATTCAAAAATGAATGTATTTTTTTAATGTTATGTTGTATTTGAATTTATTTTATGGATGAACAACTGTTTCATTGAAATTATATTTTATTAATTTCATAACAAAATAAAAAACTTGGTTCGTATGCAAATATGTGTATCAAACGTGACAAAATATTATTATTTATTTATTTATTGATATGGTATTGTAATATTTTCTACCATGTTTGCAAGTATCAACCTTTCAGTCTAAATATTGGCCCGACGTTATAAATTAGATAATTAAAGTAATCATCAATTAATTACACTTTTGTTACTTTGTCATTCACTGGCTGATTGAATGTATTTATTTTTTATTACTTGAATTTGACTTTTTCGCGTACTTTTTTTTTATTAAAACACACTTTTTTGTATTTTGAAGAAGATATTTTTGTTATAATGCTGTTAAAACTATTGAACTCTCAGTGGCGCACACCCATCCAAGGATATGTGCAGAAAATACTGCTATTGAAAAATAACAATTGCCAGAACTTTATATATAGCTGCATGTTTTTTACATAATTAAACATAATAAGTGGCGATCTATAAGAAGAATGTCTTCAATCCGTGACCAATGGCGGCCATCGCATTATAATCGAGAATAATCGACCCTTTATCCTGAGTGTTCTGGGTTTCATCACTGTAAATGCGAATAGACTCCCTTTGTTCATTTTGACAAATAACGAATAATGTTAAAATGTCATTGCACGTGGGCGCATTTAGGCAGGTAATAGAAGGCGTAACATATAGCGGCCACCGATTATGAATCAACAATATTTGATATTACGTATCTATCAGGGATATACTGCAAGACCAATTTCACTACACAAATATTAAGAAAAAAAACACACATCCTCGGAGAAACCCAGCGCAAAACTGAAGAATAAAATAGTTTACATTTTTACTGCCTTGCCGCCCGCATTTTCTGTTGGTGAAACGCATATTTCCTTATAAGGCCAATGTCTTTCACATTGATTCTGAAGTATGCATAACTATTAATGATCATATTGATCATTTCAACAAACATTCTTATTTTCCGCAACGTCATATCAACCATATGTTTCTGTGATAAATTTATATTTTTTTTTTACTACAAGACTTAAATGTTCAGTTATTTTTATTGAAAGCACTGACTTCCACCTCTTACTGGACTAGTCGCCATAGACACGTGCAAGTGGGAGGTGGGCGAAAGTATATTTCCGGGGATCAACATCCCCCGTACTATAGTACATCTCGGCACAGAAGCAAGTTATGCGTTGGAAACAAACGCGAAAAGCTCCGAGGCTCAGCCAAAATGTATTCTGGGACATGAAATATGCCATGCTTAGGAAAGGGAGGATGTCCTTCAAGTTGATAGTCCGGTCGATACAGATAATTTAAATTTATTTGCAAGAGCAATCAGAATATATGGTGTAGCTACGGGCAGCGTCTTTGTCCGTCGCCGAGGCACAGAAACAATGCTGGAAATACCAAAAGTCTCAAAGGATGAGTAAAGGATGTATTATATGTAATATCAGAGGTACATTACTTGGGGTTTGCAACTCGCATAGTACTGTATGGTGACATCATGTCAAAATACCATTCAAGTCTCTTCTCGTAGATAGCGAGACTGAGGCTACGACCTTCTGACATGACGCATATCAATGTTCAAGGTTTGTAATGAAAAAAATAAACTGTTCTTGTCACTATCATAGTGAAAAATGTAATACATCGAAAATGTACAGAAAATATAGTTCTCGTAATCCGTCATATCGTGGACAGCTATTTTGATCCACCTGGACATCCCAGTATCCTAGTTACCTCGGGCATGCGCATTCGCATTTTTTCTGAGTTGGAACGCTTATGCGAGAGCAAGATTGTGACGGGATCTTGGTATCATGTCACCGTAGTTACAAACCCCAAGTAATGTACCTCTGGTAATATTGATTATCTTGACAACAAATACATAGCCATGATTGGTCACCCTTAGCCCCACCTTAGTGCATATAATTTATAAACGATGGACATCATGTTCGTATAATCTGTTATACGAACATTAAAAGCTAATTCTTTGCAAAATTCTAGTTAGGATAGACATCTACAGAAGGAGTAAAGGGTGCGCTATGCGCTAATTATTCTCGATCCTTATACGATGTCCGCGATTCGTCACGGATTGTCTTCGCACAGTTTTCTATACACCAGATTTGACTAGACATTTACAAAAAATTACTATGGGTCTTAGTCCCGTTTGAAAACAGTATGTAGAAATTATGGCATACAGAGTGTGATTATTCAAATTAGAAAATATTTATGTTTACTACAGACAGACACTCAGCAATCCCAAAATAAGAAAAAAAACAATACAAATGAATGTATAACTTACATAAAAGTATAATTTGTGAAATACAATTATGATTGATTGTTCTATTAACAATAATTATCTCAATACTGTTTTATCTTCGTAAACAAATACACCAGTTTGTTAACAATCAGATATTTTCATGCTAATTTATTCGTTATTATTTTGACCTAAAATGTTTTCTTCTTCTTAGAACACATGTATGTCAGTCGGGTCTCGCCATTTACCAAACAACTAATCCAGTTGTGTATTTAATTGAACTTAAACATTTAAAAATATTATTTACCATATACCGAGTGAGTGGAGGTAATAAATAAATTTATTTTCACAAAATTTCACAAATAAAAAGTGCAGTATATCCCATCATTATCTAGATTATATATATTTATTTGCCCAACCAACTTCTGATAAATAAAATGACCTCTTCATTGTTTTGAAATTTCTTATTGCGG